TTTTCATCCTGATAAGTACATTCAAAATGGATTCTAATATTGTTCTATGGGGATTTATTGCTAATGGTTTATGGAACACTCGATATTGTGGAACCACGATCAAAACCCATTCATCCTATGCAGTTTTTGATTCTGTATCCATTGATGTTGATATGATTCGATTTTCATCCTGATGAGTACATTCAAAATGGATTCTAATATTGTTCTATGGGGATTTATTGCTAATGGTTTATGGAACACTCGATATTGTGGAACCACGATCAAAACCCATTTTTCCTATGCAGTTTTTTATTCTGTATTCATTGATGTTGATATAGTGTGCTTTTCATCCTGATAAGTACATTCAGTAACTTGAAGCAAAATAGAAATGCTCATAGAATTCATTTCAACAGCTGTGAAATCAGTCTCTTGTTAAACTTACTGGGGAACCTTAAAACCAAACGGAAAATCCAAATTAAACAGCAGGAAAGATCCAAATCAAGCGTGAAATTCTGTTAAATTTGACCGAAAAAGATGAATTATTCTTAACATATTCAAATAATGCATAACAAAATATTAATTATTATATTTAATTTCAATAATCGTTACCTTTTAAATTCAAAGAGAAGAATTCGCTTGTAAATTCGATTTTAATGTGGCCATGATTTTCTATTAAAGTTGCAAAAAATCTGAAAAGAGATGAGAGATAAAATAAAGAATTAATAAACATAAAAAGCCGATAAGTCTAATCTAATCTGAATCAATCCTATTTCCTCAAATCTGAATTGATAATTTCAAAAATGCACGAAGTACATTTTCTTCACCTCAATTCGATTTTGAAGGAAAGCCCTAATTCCAGCTTACACCCATCGCACTGGGTTTCCCCAGTCGCGGTGGACTGCAAGCTGGTCTTTATGATCGCCAAAAATGCCAAACAGCCAAAAAAGCAAAAAATGCAAAAAAAATCGACCTTACCTGGTCGAAGTCCAAAACGATAATGAGCGTGACATACAGAGAATAGCTTAACCCTTTTTCAAAAAAACAACTTCGTAGAAGACAAGTCCTTAATCAAATTTTGAATACATCAATCTCTAACGATGCCATATGTCACATGACACACCTACCTAACCATATGCGTTTATTAGTTAGCGGCCCATTTATGCAAAATCTCGCTGAAACAGAAATTGAAATATTTTAAAAACGCATATTGGTTTGACTAATAAGGTGAAAGGTTTAAAGAGAGAATGGTCAATTGATATCATTGATGTTATTTGTATGTGACTTCCATTGTGATATGTATGCCCAAAAAAAAAATATCAAAAAATCAGAAAAATTGAAATATTTTAAAAACGCATATTGGTTTGACTAATAAGGTGAAAGGTTTAAAGAGAGAATGGTCAATTGATATCATTGATGTTATTTGTATGTGACTTCCATTGTGATCAGTTTGCGTTAAAACATTCGCTTTATTAAGCATTCAATCAAAACAAATATCTTTCAGCTTTACATATTAAATTATCTTTATTCAAATATTTTATATAACAAATCATGGCTTACTGTTCCAATTGTAATCTTGCTTTCAGCACTTTCAAAAAAGGGTTGCTAAAAGGACCAAAAAGAATTAGAAAATACAGCATCAGCAATGCTGAAATGCTGAATTTTCTTAATTCTATGCACGGTACAAGGGGTTGCGAAAAAAAGAATCTTATTGGTTCTGTTATTTGCAACCGCTGCTACCAAGTGTATTACAAACATAGGAAGAAAAGGACAATGGAAATCGTTGATTTTTGTGAAAAGTTCAAACTTTGTTTGAACATTAAAAATTAGGATTTCCATTGTCCTTTTCCAAACTGGAGGCGAGGGTAACCAGTATAAAAAACTACCCAAAACTCACAAAAGGAACTACCTTCACGTGGTGTGAGTTGTTTTGACCAAAGTTCCTCATATAGTATTGTATTCATATTTTACTCACTTGCATTTTGTCATATTGATTGTTATACTATTGATACTTATACATTTCTAATACTGTTAACTTCACTGATAATATCTCAACTGTTATTTATATCTTCCATATTAATATGTCTAGCTCAAGTCATTGCGCATTCTGTAAACTTTGTTTTTCCATTAGGGAAAAAGCAAGATCTGGTCGAAAGAAAAAATCTTGCAGAAGATATCCTTTAACGGATGCCTCAATGTTTCAGTTTTTCGAAAGAAAATTAATTGAGAAAAACTGTAAGTGTTGTGCTCCAACAGGGATTTCTCAAGAATCTGTTGTTTGCCATAAATGTTATATGCTTTTTAAGATAAACCAAAAGAAAATTGAAAATTTCTTTCAAGATTTCGCAAAAAGCATATAACATCGATTGGCAAAACTGGAAGCGAGGGTAACCAGTATAAAAAACTACCCAAAACTCACAAAAGGAACTACCTTCACGTGGTGTGAGTTGTTTTGACCAAAGTTCCTCATATAGTATTGTATTCATATTATGCTTACTTGTATTTCTCATAACTGATTGTTTTTTACTCTCATTTCATTCTTTTCATTTCAACTTGATCTTTCAGTTTCGATTCGGGCTTACATTTTCAATTTTCAATTCAATTCTACAGTTTATCACACAATTTAACACAAATTAGCTTTGTGTTTAGTTAAAAATGGATGCACAAAAAGAAATTCCTAAAAAAATATGGCGGAAAAATCAGAGGGAGAGGAAAAAAGAAAGGGACAAAAATGTTCAAGCGAGTTTAACTGCGAAAGGCGAAGCTGATCCCTATGTAGCAAAGGATATGGCGAGAAAAGCGCGTAAAGAAAAAAATAGAGCCGCCAAAAAATTCAAAAAAAGTCTTGAGATGTTCAAGCAAAATTCATCTGTCGAAGGCTACAAAGCTGAGGAAACTTGTCTCGGTAGAATAGCAGCTGAATCGCTGAGAAATGAGGCTATAAAGGATTTCCAGGTAGCTCAAGAAACACTTGCTGTTGCTGAAACGCTTCAGGGCAAGAAAACTAATGAGCCTGGAAGTTCTCATAGTGACCTTCTGAAGCATATTTACCAATAACTTCAATCATGATTATTGATCTCCATCTTGGAGTGCGAAGCAGCTTTTCAGTACCACTTCAAGATCAAAATCAATAACCACGATTGTAGTTATTGGTAAATCAAACTGGAGGCGAGGGTAACCAGTATAAAAAACTACCCAAGACTCACAAAAGGAACTACCTTCACGTGGTGTGAGTTGTTTTGACCAAAGTTCCCAATCATATCGTTTGACATTTGTTTTTGTTAGCACAAATATGTTTAAATGCAATAATCAATTTCTATTTTTAGCTAACATTGAAATCCAACCGCCAAAATATGCTATAAAAACAATTCAATTGAACTTCTGCAAAAGTTAAAGTTCAAAGGTCAGTATCTCGAAAAGTATAGGTCACAGAATAAAATGCATTTAATATTTGGATTTTTTAACATGAAAACATTCTATAAAAACAATTGAAATGAATTTCTGCAAAAGTCAAAGTTCAAAGGTCATTATCTCGAAAAGTATAGGTCACAGAATAAAATGGATTCGATAAATGGATTTCTCAACATGGAAATACTCTAGAAAATATGTCAAATGAGCATTTGCGCATGGTGCAGTTTTTAAGGCCATTTTCTCGAAAACTATTGGTCGCAGAAAAAAATGAGTTTTAGATTCATTCTTTTCACGTAAAAATACATTAGAATTATTATTCTCATCAAATTTTAATTTTTAGGCGAATTTCGTCCTCCTCCTTTAAATGTTCAAATTGATAATTCAGCGTAATTAAACGAGGCATCTTTTCTTGAATGGTTTTTATACTTATAATACTATTATACTTAATATTATAAAATTAGTTAGTAATATAAGCTGCTTTTAAAAAAGTTTGGACAATCCTAACTTTAATTTGTGCTGAAACTTTATGAAAAGTATCCAATCTCTATCCAATAGATTTGGTTGACTAAGGTTGACATTTAACATAAAAACAAACAACCGGTTCATTTGTACAAGCATTGATGAAATGAATTCATGAGATCTGCAATGTGTGAAAATGGTAGATTACGCATTTGAATATTGATTCTTACTCTGTGTGAATATATTGACAATAGATGCATTAGTTAGTTTTTTGACTAAATAAATGAATTTTTAGTGGTTGAGGATAGTTGAATCACTTTTAGATCCCAGTTATTTATTTAATACTTAATGTTTGAAGAAACTAGATAAAATTCATGTACTGAATAAACTCATGGTATATAAAAGGAATCGATTCTGTAACTGCAATCCACTCGTTTCTTTCTTCTTCATCAGTCAAGTTTATAAAATGTCTTCTTCTTCATTCCCAGCAATCATCTTCGTGTTCATCATCATCTTCTCAGATGTATGTTACTCTCAAACTCAAGGCCAGAACACATGCAGTAAGACCAAAGGTTCGCCGAGTAAATGCAGCGATGGTACAAAAGTGACTGATGAACAACTTGGAGACACTTGTGTTAATTATGCCAGCCAAGGACTGAAATTGGACTGGAATGGACCTTCTGGATTGCAGGCTGATATGATTCAAGTACGATGCCAAAATATCTTCAACGAACGAGGTCAAGAATATTGCAATTTGGTGAATAAATATTGCTCAAGTAAGGCTTGAAAAATTTAAATCTGAAATTCTGTACCAGTGAAACTTTAACATTGTTATATCATGAATTTCTGTAATAAAGAAAAATAAAAATGTCTCAATGATTTTTCTGTGATGTCTATTGATTAATAACTGCAATCACTAAACAAAAGATCCCAAATACGAACTAAATTTTCAATGTTTTACTCGAAAATGTCATTGGTGTGAAATTTATTTACATTGTTCTAATTTATTCTATTTTTCAGAAACATTCTACTCAATTGTTTGTGAAGGTATAAATCTGAAACAAGAGAAGGTGCCTAACGAAAGAGGTACGTTTCGGTTCGGGAGATTCTATGATAAATCGATGAAAAAATGTCTGAGAAATTTCAAGACTTGCAAATATTCGCTTAAATTTTTATTCCGCTTTATTTCGTTAAACTTGAATAAAATAAATATAGCTAGTCAAAATAGCGGGTCAAGTCAGGGTAGTCAAGTCAATGGGTTCAAAACAGCGAAAAATGATATAGTTGAACCAATTCAGTTTATGACAATCAAAGCATTGTGTTTAATTTTCAAAAAAAAACTTTAATCAGTTTAATTATTTATCCTCTTTATTTTACCCTCCGCTATTTCGCCTTTCTCTGTTTTGGCTTTCGCTGTTTTGACCCTTTACCGTATTTTCAAACCATCTGATCTTTGGGCTTTCCTCAAAAACTCAGCATATTCACGGACATTCTCTGCCCTGCATAAATTTTACAACTTGAACTGAGGTTTTATGGGTTTTCATTAAGAATCTGAGGTGAAATTTGACTCTTTTAGGGTCATAGAGTCTTTTCAACGGATTAATATCTCGCACATGTCTGAAGAATTAAATGAAATCACAGAATCCAGTAATGAGTTGGACCAAATCTTTCGTCTTTTTAAAACCAATCAATGGTTAAGTTAGATGAGATGACAGTAGATCATGATTGTCATTTAAGATCCAGCTAGGAATTTTAAGAGGGTTCAAACAATCTCTTATTTTACGGAATCGAGGTAAATCTGCATAATGTTCGGGCTGATCAGGATTGATTTCATTAGCTGCACTATTATTAGCTGTTCCATTAGCATCAGGGTTATCAGCTTGACCATTTATAGTACCGTTAGCGTTATCTGCAGTTGGCTTCCACCAAGATGCAGCTTGTAAAAAAGCCTTTTCATCTTCATTTCTCACCAATTCAACCATCTCACGAACATTTGTCATAAGAGAAAGAGCTATGGCCGCTTCTTTTTCTTGAAGTTTGAAAGGAAATCTTCTGTTTAATATTTCATTGAAGAAAGAATAGATAACATTGTAGTCGATCTTTTCTCCATTTCTATTTTCAAAAGTATCATTTCCCTTTAGATTTACTTCGCTATTTTCCCTTTCTTCTTCATTATCAAGCATGTCTTCGTCGCCCTCATCGTCTTCATCATCTTCACCAGCATCATCATCTTTATCGTCCTCTTTATCTTCGCCATTCTCTCTGTCGTAATAGTTACTCATCGTATATTCAGAAAACTGGGTGAAAATATCCAACAAAACACGAGAGAAATCGTCCTTTTTAGCGGGAAAAGGAACACAGTTCGAAATAACTGATAACCACTTATTTATATTCTTCATCTCGATGAAACGATCCATGTAATTTTGTTTGAGACTGAGATCTTTACCTTTCTTCTCATAAGAAGCGACCAGAAATCTGTTCAAATGAAAAATAGTTAAAATATGGCTGAAAGTAAAATTTAAGCTTATTTATCTTACTTTAATTGGGCATCGGATTTGGAAGGAAAATACGTCCTCAAAAGCTCAAAATCGTAGATCACACAAGGTCCATGATCATCTAGAGCTCTGAGTAAACTCTCTTTATCTAGAGATCTATCCTCAGTTTCTCTTTCTTCATTTGTCTTTGTAGTTTTGCTTCTGGTGGTCATGTTGTTTCTTTGTTCAGTTTGAAAAGATTGCGTTCTGTCAATCATAAAAGTATCGAAATGAATTCAATGTAAAGTTCATAAAAAGCCAAACTTCAAGTTTGAAACTTGATGTTAGGGTTAACCCGGTTAACGTTAGATGGGGCTACATAATTTGAGTCCATTTAACTGATAGATACTTATCGAATCGAAGATCTGATCCTATTTCTGATTGCTTAGACTTGCAGTTTGTTTTCTTACAAGATTTCAATTTAAATTCAATCAGTTTTGTTTTTTGAATTTGTTTTGCTTACAAAATGCACGAAAAAGGACGACGCAATAATCGTGGCAACTTTCATCGACACTCTGGAGGCTATCATAATCTCCCAAGGCCACCCTTTGACATTTACATGGTTGAGGATTATTTTCCTAAAGTGTCATCACCTAAAGAGATCGATAGTGCTTTGACTCAAGTAAGCTTGAAATAATTGTTTATAATTCCAATTCCATTCTTATTTATAATGTTTTCTTCTTGTTTTTGAATAGGCGATCTTAAAGCGGAACAGTGATCTAACTCCATCCCCAGAGGAACAAACTAATCTGGTCAATCTTGTCTCCAAAACTCAAATGGTTTTAGAAAATTTGGCATTGTGTCCTGGCACTTTTGACGCTTGTGTAAGTAGTCATATTTTATGCTGAATATGCATCAAAAATCATTTATCACACTTTTAATTTATTTTTAATTATTTATAACAGCTTATCGAAGAAGTGAGATGCATTGGCTCATTTAAAAAAGGCACGATGCTGGCTGGGAGGAATCTTGCCGATCTCGTTGTTATTCTCAAAACTCTTCCAGTTCTAGAAGCCATTAAATCATTAGGAGTGAAAGTTGTCGATGAGTTGATGAAAATGGAAAGTGGTATGGTATTTCGCTCTGAAGTTGTCGATGGAGGGTTCGATATAATCAGTCAAATGAATGGAGCTGCAGTACGATGTTTGATAGCAACTATTCCTCCAAATATGAGAAAAATTGATCCTTCTATTCATCTATCAATTAAAATTTTACAAAGACATATGGCGGCAATACGACACGTACGCTGGTTCGAAGAATCAGCTAACTTAACTACCGTCAAAGTTTTGATCAGAGTCTTGCGAGATGTATGCAATCGATTCGAAGGATTATCTGCTTTATCACCCTGGATGATTGATGTCTTAGCTCATTATTCAGTAACTTTTAGAAATCCTCAACAATTATTACCTCTCAACTCTGCATTTAAACGAGTTTTACAGCTTTTGGCTGGTGGAGTATTTTTGCCTGGATCTACAGGTATTCCTGATCCTTGTGAAAATGGCAATCCACTCCATGCTGGTCTTACTTTAGTTCAACAAGATGCCATTTGCATGACAGCTCAAACTTTACTCAGAATTCTTTGCTATGGAGAAGGCTATAAAGTTATCCTTGGTTTAGAACCCGATGTATATGGTATCACAGTGAATATGTCTGTGTGGGATTCTGTTGTTGTGGCACCTAGCAATGCGGCATTCGAGTTACCATCTAAAGAGGACGAAACAGAAACTGAAATGACAGAAGTTCAAGCAGAAAATAAACCTAAGTCAGCTTCACCAACTCCAACATGAGTTAACTTTAGCGAATTCATTTTTGTCATTATGTGAAAGCTTTCATTAATCCATCTTTATAACTATTCAATTCCTTAATTTATCTTTTGTTTTTCTCAAAAGTTCATCGATTTCCAGTATATTGAATAAACATTTTCATTCTAAATGATGAAAATTCTAACGTCATTTAATTAAATTCTGTAATTTTAATTTATGAATTATCATTTGATCTTTGATAACTGAATTTTTTATAATTGAAGATTTTAAAGGGTGTTAAGGTTTATTTCTTGCAGAATAGAAAAAGGTAAAAGCGATCTTATCTGAAAATAAAGATGAAAATGGTGATAACATGGCGATAAATATGAATCGGTCACTTTCATTTGCTTGGGTATTTTGATTAACCTTTTATCTTTGTGATTTCATCTCTATCTTCAGATAAGATCTTTTTTCTTTCCCCTGTTTTTGCAAGAAATAAACCTTAACACCCTTTACAACAAAATGAATAGGACGAGATTGATACACACAATGCTAATCTAAGATGAGAAAAATCTTTCATTTCATTTTCTTTTCTTGTCTAGCTTTCCATTCATAATATGACTCTGGTGGAGCAATATCTTTACCAGGCGTTTTTCCGAACTCACGGAGGAAAGGTTTCTCAATATCAGGTAGATTTTCTATAACAGGTTTAGCATGTGGAGGGAACCAATGGAACTTTGTCTGCTTTTGTTTTTCCGTCAAATAAGGAGCATCTAAATCTTGATTCCATTTTTCCAGTTCTTCGGGTTTATATTGATTATAATATCCTAAATACTTTTTAGGCAACTCGCAAGTTCCTGGACACGGCACCTGACCTAAAAGATGAGATGTAAATTAGTGTTAATAAATTATAGAGGCTAAAACTTCCAGGAAAAACGAATCATTCAAAAAACCTACCTGGAACTTCGCAAATACAAAATTGTTTCTTGTTGAATCCAAAATGAGCTGGGTTGTCATAGTCTTGAGCATCTTTAGCTCTATCACTTTCCATTTTCAATCGTTCTTTAGATTTTCCTAACGTCTTTGCTAGTTGAAGTAAAATTTCGTATCTAGTTTTTTCATAACAATCAAACAATACATTTTTACCACTGTCTAACCAGCACCTGATGAATGGATTGGGTGTCATGTCGAGGAATCTAATAATTTGAACATCAGGATTTTGATACTGAATTTGAGGAACATTCCAAAAATGAAATGAATTTAAACCTTCATGTGCATTACCATATTTAACTAAATGTTCAACGGCATGTCTTCTAGGATACCAATTACAATGAATCTCCATGATTTTAACTCTGTCTTTGAAGATGAGCGTTCCAGATTTTAAATAAGGAAGAGTCCTCCTAATGGGACCTGGACCTTGAAGAAAAGGCATTTAAAATGAGGGATGTTGTTTCCACCGAAAACTAATCAAATGCACAATAAAATCAGATCAAAACAAGAAATATATAAACAACATAAAATCAGAACAAAAAATGAAAATAAACCAAGCTTATTTATCAAAACTCTACCTAGAGGGCAGTAGCTATAGTTACTCTTTGAAATTAATTGCAATGATTAATTTAAATCAATGAGCGTACAGCTAGTTAATTAGTCCCTTCCTAAGAATAATATCATCTAGACTTCAAATTTAGTCTAATTTCGTTATTGAATGTCGTACAATTAACAGATGCAGCTACGGTAACATTTTTGTGCCCTGAATCGTTACAGTTACTCAAAAAACTCAGGAAAACTCCGTCTTCATTTTTAACTTTCAATTGATTACTCTGAGCACAATGGACAAAGTAGTAAATTTTAGGTTTAAATAACTGATTGACTGATTTATGCAAATAGCAACACTAAATTTCACTTAATCAAAAAACTCTTCGTATCTAATTTCCTTCAAATATCATGCTTAATGATCAATCTTAATGCCTTTATTTAAGACATCAATTCAAAAAAGGACGCCATCTTCTTTTGTTTTCATGGTTTCGAACCATGTGACTGATCGGACATCATTTTAAATTTTAAAAGATTGATTTACCGCTTCTTTTTATTTTTTTATTTGTTTGTTATCGTAACAACTATTTTTGATTTCTTGATTGATTTTGGTGATTATTTGTAGTTCATTATTCCAATGTATTGTGGGTAACATTTATGATGCACCGTTCTTAAATAGTTACCGATTTCTTTTAAATTTCATGTCATTTCACATTTCATTACATAATTTTTATACAATTATAACGTAAGTCCTAAGTCTTGTTTTCTATTTTACTCAATTATTAAGAATACTTTTTAAAATTGATCCAACAATATAAACTACTGTGCAACAATACTAGGCATTAAAATCTCACAATAATCATGTTAAAAGAAAACATTTTACGACAAATCATGGTGCGAAGCATCAGCAAGGTTGATTCTTTTGCATCTTCGTCTGACCAAGTTGATATTGTCTCCGGAATAGTGTTGAGCAATTTAACTTGCTTTAACACCTTTCAACCATTTTCAAATCGTTTATGTTGCATAAGATGGATTCCAAAGCGTCCTAATAGTCTTTTAGTAGGTGGTAAACATGGAGAACTGTGTCTTATTCCTGATGTAAATCGATATACCATTTCGGGCAATGATGTAAAGAATCTTGATATGATTTCTGAAGGAATTGGTCCCGGAGGCGAAATAAGAGAGATAATTCCTGATGTAACTGATAATAGAAATTTCTATTCGTTAAATGTATCAGGAGAGTTGGTTAAAGTCGATATGTCTACTCATGATATAAATGTACTTCAGCCTCAAGGTGACTTCAATGTTTGGTATGCCGGTTTAAATGTCAACTTCGATAAACGAGTCATTATGTTGGGAGACAACAAAGGAAATGTTCATATGCTTCCTGATTCCACGCGCTCAGGAGAGGTACTAAAATAGAGAGTGTTGCTCTAAAATCCGTCAGCAGCAAAAAGGTAAATGAGAAGATCCAAGAAGAAACTGATTCGGTTTATCGAAAAAATATTTGATCAACCTTTGTGACAGCTTGTTGTTGGTATTGTCCATCCATGGACTAACAAGTTGTAAGTTTAACTAAGAAGAGTTATTGATTTAATCACAAAGGTCAATTAGTGGTTGACCAAATTTTTCTTATCACCGAAACTAGTTTTTGTCTTGGATCTTCTCATTAACCTTTTTTGCTACTGACGGATTTTAGAGCAACACCCTTTATCTTTCAAACATAAAAACGCCGAACTAATTTAATTATTTAATTTTCATTGATAGGGCGAGCGTACAAAAATAAAATGTCACAAACCTGGAAAGATCAATCACATTGATTTTCATCCCAGAGATTCTAACATTATGAGCACAGCCGCTACAGCAGACATGTGTGTGAAATTATGGGATATTAGAATGCTGGACGATTTTAGAGAACTGGAAGTTCTACCGCACACTCGCGGGGTTAACTCATGTTATTTTAATCGAACTGGACATAAAATGGTTACTACGGACCAGGAAAACGAATTGCGAATATATTCATCTGGCGATTGGAGTCATATTGCTACTATTATTCATCCTCATCGACATTTCCAATTTATTACCAATATTAGAGCTGAATGGCATCCTTTAACCGACTTAATTGCCGTCGGAAATTTTCCTAAACTTATGAACGAAACAAAACTTGTTAATTTTTTCGATGGTCGCGATGGCAGAGAGATTATGGTACTTGAAAATCCAAATAATAAAATTTGCTCTCTCAATCGATTCAACTACACTGGTGACATTCTTGCGTCTATGTATCAAACGGAGATTGTTATTTGGAAACAAAAGGGATCTCCAGATGAAAAAGCTTATAAGAAGAAAATTATACGATTTAGACGCAATAGGAGAAACAATCAAAGTGACAGTGACAACGACAAAGATAGTGAAAGTGGCAGTGACAGTGACAGTAGCAGTGACGACGATGATGATGATCTTGGTAAAACAAAAGGTAAAGGTAAAGGCAAAGGAAAAAGTCAAGGAAAAAGTCAGGGAAAAAGCCAAGGAAAAAGTCAAGGAAAAGTTCAAAGAAAAGTTGAAGGGAAAGGAACAAAAAAAGTTCAAGAAGCAGCCACAAAAACCAAAAAAACTCCACCGAAGAAAGAAACGAGAAAACTTCCTCCACGAAATGCAAAGAGAAAGAGCTGATTTCTGTCACATTTTATTACTTCAGAATATATTTTAAATATTTTTTTAAAACAATAAGTAGTCCCTCGATGTTTTTTGCAAAAAAAATGGTTAAGAAAAATGGGGCTTTTTCTCCTAGACTCACTTTTGAAATTGAAGATTTTAATTTTCTATTGTTAATTTGATCTTTTATAACCAGTTTAGTGATTGTTTGATCAGCAAATTTCAAACGGTTATTTTAAGATAAGCACCAGCTTTTCCAATTCCTTTTGCAAAAGTCGAGGGACTAAATTAACTGCATGTTCAAAATTTTCCATTTATATTTTTTCACATTCGTTGTATATTGCTTGTTATCTATTCATGATAAAAATTTATTTCATTGACAATTTGGAATACTCTCTGTTTGATTAAGACTGAAAAATTGTTTGCTTTACATGCATTATTTTATGTTCCATCGTTTTGTACAGAAACATGAAAATAAGTTGAATTATAATAAACCCCTCAAAGGTTCATCTTGCGAGTGAACCGAGAACAAAATAACTATATTCTGGTAATTCAATTCGTGCGTCTTGTTTCGATCTCATTTTTGTATTTTTTAGTTATATTTTTTTGATAATTTGATTTATTCTTAATTTTCAACCGACATTGTGAATAATAAAGTTTTTTATGACAAAAATTAATTTCAAAAATATATGAGTTCATAAAAAGACTGGTAGATGGCGTTATTCATTGCATGCTTTAGGAAGTAGTTTCCGGATCCGTTAGAGTAAATTTGGTTTCTTGCGTATTGTTAAGTGTTGTGTTGTTTAATCTAGTTAAATTAATCAATTCTGTTTGACCCATTGAATTAGGTAAGTTAATTAAATTAACTTTTAATGAGCCCTTTGTGTTGTCACAATCTCAATCTTCAATATTTTCATGATTTTCTTTATCTGTTTCCTCTTTTAGGATGGCCAAGAAAGGTAAAGAAAGACCAGCCAAATCAGCTATTAATGATGTGATCCAACGGGAATATACAATCAACATTCACAAAAGGATTCACGGCAAAGGTTTCAAGAAACGAGCTCCAAGAGCCATCAAAGAAATTAAGAAGTTTGCTTTCAAACAAATGGGAACCTCAGATGTCCGAGTTGATACTCGATTGAATAAATTCATCTGGTCCAAAGGAATCCGTAATGTACCTTTCAGAGTAAGAGTTAGACTATCAAGGAAACGTAATGAAGATGAGGATAGTCCAAACAAGTTATATACTTTGGTCACCTATGTTAATGTTGCCACTTTCAAGGGTCTTCAAACAGAGAATGTGGATGAAGCATAAACAAACCTAAATTAATAAAGTCTCTTTTGATGAATGTTAATAGTTTCAGTGTGTTATTCGCTCTGCATATGCAAAAATTCAACACATCAATGAACTCGTGTATCCTTAACAAGTGAAATATTGTTGATCTCGGTTTCTAACATGCTAATTTATACTTTGAAAAGCAAACCTAATTTACCTTCATTACTAGAAGGTACACAGTAATAGAAGAAAGCTTTAATGAGTCGAGGACAGTTGAAAAATATCTAACCACGCTTGCCATTGGCGGATTTCCTCACAGATGTGAGCTCAGTTTGATTATTACTAATAACTTGCTAATGATAAGTAGCATTCGGAAATACTCCTTCAGTGTTGAAACTTCTCCATTCAGATTTGCATTAGTCGGAATTTCGTTCACCTATGATTGCTTGGAGAATTAATAAATTCAAGCTATTATGGTTCATCTTGATCATAATTATTTTTATCTCGCCGCTAATTTGAAAGAAATGCTTTAACTTTTTATTAAAACCTACATTGCTCGATAAATAAACAGCTATTTTCACGCTGTTGCACTAGAAGAAATTCAGAGTCTGAATGACTGTACTCCCATTATCTGATCAGTGTCTATGAATTACCTTCAAGTTGTTATTTACTTGATTATTGATATGTTGATATGATATCTCTTTATCATTAATTAGATATCGCAATGATTAAGATATTTGCTCGTATCTTTCCAGTTGCATTTTTGTTTTGTTCACATTGAAAAAAAGTAATTGGTGTTTTGTGAGTTTCAATTATCTCATCTTTTTCATTTAAAAACATCCAAGTGCCATGGCTAATTTTTTACACCGAATAAAGCCCCTTTTAAACAACAGTTCGACATTATCATATGGTAAAGTGTTTTCAAATCGTAATATGTCGACTTCTAAAACTCTCGGTGCAAAATTTGATCATGCTGATCCTCTAAATATGGACGAATTTTTGACCCAAGACGAGATTTTGATTAGAGACCAATTTCGCTCTTATTGTCAAGAAAAGTTGATGCCAAGAATTTTGAAAGCTAACCGTGATGAGGTGTTCGACAAGAATATTATGAAAGAAATGGGATCTTTAGGTGCCATAGGGCCAACATTGAAAGGATATGGTTGTTCCGGTGTATCTTACGTTGCCTATGGATTACTTACTCGTGAAGTAGAAATGGTTGATAGTGCTTACAGATCAGCTTTGAGTGTTCAATCATCTCTAGTTATGGGGGCAATTTATGAGTTCGGAAGTGACCAACAGAAGGACAAGTATTTGGAAAAATTAAGATCTGGTGAAATGATTGGTTGTTTTGGTCTCACTGAGCCAGATTTTGGAAGCGATGCTGGTGGTTTAACGACCAAGGTAACAATAACAGTTATCAATGATCTACTTATTCATTCAAAAAACCGTGAATAGGATGAATATGATCTAAGTCCAAAGGCTAATAATTTTTCTATATACTTTCATAGGCCACTTATGATGCATCTACAAAAAGCTATTATCTTACTGGATCCAAAACATGGATAACTAACTCACCGATTGCTGACATTTGTGTCGTCTGGGCTAAAAGTGAAGCTCATAAGGGAAAAGTCAGAGGATTCATTTTGGAACGAGGAATGAAAGGCTTGGAAACACCTAAATTAGAGGGCAAATTATCTTTAAGAGCTTCAACAACTGGAATGATATTGATGGAAAATGTTCAAGTTCCCGAAGAGAACATGCTTCCTGAAGTCGAAGGAATGAGAGGTCCGTTTTCATGTCTAAATAATGCCAGATACGGTATTGCATGGGGAGCATTAGGAGCCGCACAGTTTTGTTATGAAGCTGCTCGACAATACACAATGGATCGTAAACAATTTGACCGTCCGTTAGCAGCTAACCAATTGATACAGAAAAAATTAGCCGATATGGCTTCTGAAATTTCTATTGGATTAGCAGCTTGCTTGCAAGTAGGTCGTTTGAAAGACAAAGGCTTAGCTGCTCCTGAAATGATTTCTTTGATTAAACGAAACTCCTGTGGTAAATCCTTGAAGATTGCTCGAATGGCTCGTGATATGCTTGGTGGAAACGGTATCTCTGATGAATATCACGTAATGCGCCATGCAAACAATTTAGAAGCTGTTAATACCTATGAAGGAACGCATGACATTCATGCTTTAATACTAGGAAAAGCTATAACAGGAATACAAGCATTCTTTTGAATGAAATTCAATTGAAAACTTGAGCTTACAATGTTAATATGTAGAGACTCAAATACACTATATTTTTACCTTCTTTCGGGTTGAGTTTGGTTTTCTTATTTTTATTTTGTTTCATACAATTGAAATATTACTTGTAAATTTATTGTTTCTCGGAACGAATAAAGTTCATGAATCTGATTGATAATTCTTTTGAAATTTTTCTGTGGGTTGGATTGTAATTTTAGTAGAGATCTAACAAGCTCTTGTTAAGTTACAGTTTAAAAATGTTATACTCTTACAGCTAATTTTACAGCAATCTTGAAGTCAACAATACGATGGATTCTGACATTCGGAGATTTGATGAAGCTAAACAGCTACAAAAAAAATAATTTCATTTTTTTGAGCTGCTACTCAATTAATTTCAGTCCTTATCTTTTCAATTGCTGGCAATTTTTTATTAAATCGCGTACTTTGTTTAAATATGATGAATGATGAAAAAATTTTGAACATTTAATGAAGAAAGTTGATAGAAAAGGAAAAACTTTTAGTTTGCCGTGATAATCGCAAATTTGATTGATTTGCACTAAATGACTATGGAAAGTGATTGTAACCTTCTTCCAATTCAGTCTAATTAATGTTTCAAACGACAATTGAGTTAGAAACAATGAACTGATTGACAATTAATGTCGCCTTGTTAACCGCAATCTTAATGGTGATTAATGTAAAAATAAATGTATTCCGCAAATAATGTCTAATGTCTATATGCCAATAATGAGAGGAAAGTTTCTCTTTTTTGAATTTCTTTGTGATTGAAATGATATTCTTTAAAATTTTTTAGTTTTTTAATAAATTATTGGAAATATAATTTTTGTAATTTATAAAAATATTTTCAAAGGGCTTCAAAGTACAGAAATCACTTGAGGTTTGGAGATAATGGCCACAACGCCAATCATAAAAAGAAAGATGTTATTTTCCTCTGCAAAAATGCTAGCAGGAGCAACGATTGGATGCTTGAATAAGTTTCAACTAATTTACAGATATTCCAAATGAATTTCTCGTCTTTGATGAAAATATCAAACAATCAGTCCATTAGATTTAAATGTACAAGTGTAGAATGAAATCTTATTGACATCAAGTTTATCACTTCACCTTTTCTTTGAATTATTGCTTAATGATGATGTTTCACTGTCAAAAGAGAAGGTAAAAGTGATCCACCGACTAGCGTTAAGAGTTCACTTAATTTAAGTGCTTGATGATGGATAATCTCCGGTAGAACATGTACTGTCGCTACATAGAGGAATGTACCACCGCTAAAAAGCATTGCAACACCCGTGGCATTATAATCAGAAAGGGTCTCTTGTGCGGATTCATTTATAGCAAAATATGTTACAAAAGCTCCGACTGGTGCAGCCAAAGAAAACGCCAAGAGATGATTACGAAGTTTTTTTCGATCTACACCTTCATGCATCAAGAAGGTAATTAAACCAAAAGCTGCTGGAGCCTTGTGCAGCATGATGGCAAAAAATACAATCATTTCCACATCGGTGTGAGATGTGGTTGCTGCGGCACCGAGTGCAACACCATCTGCAGCAGCATGGACAACGAGACCAATAGTTGCTGTTATCTTGGACGATGAGGCCTTTCTAGATGGTCTAATTACATGAGAGTTATCACTTCCAACTCCCCCAGTCTCTAAATTGTTATCACTGGTGGTTGATAGGGTTGAATAACTAGCAGAGCTGGTATGTCGGGTGGCAAATTGGTCAATGACAAGCATAAAAGCAAAACCAATCAACAATGATAGACCAATAACAGAATGAGGTAAATCTTCAACTTCCTTTAAAGTTGATGACGCTGATGCTTTTAGATGGTTCTTATAAGCAGAGGCATATATTGTATTGACCCCTTCTGGAATGATAACTGACAAAGCTGTGCCAACCAGAATACCAGAGCCTAAAATTGTTAGAAATCTTATTTTTTCCTCTGAAAAGTTAAATACCAAAGGAACTGTACCAGCAAAATAGCTGCCAAAAAGCATGGAAAAGGCAAGCAGGGTCAGCATGGTCAGTTGCTCCATTTTCTTGCTTTATTTTAAAGGCTTGTCAACAATACGAATCACTATTTGAGAATATCACATTTAAGCACAATAACCAGACTTTGTTAGCATAATCAAAACCATCTTCAAACGATTAATCAGATATACAGGTGAACATCCTTGAGATCTTAGTGGAAGAAGAAATAGATACCAGATTGGATGTTCTGTGAAATTCAAGAAATAAAATTATTGATATATTTTATTAAAGACCATCAAGTAACAAAATATTTCGAAATTCTTACCTTTATTAATCTAGAAGGAAGATTAAAAATGTTATCATTTATCAATGCTGATCAGATGACTTTAAGATAATGGAGAGAAAGTAATGAATCTGATAAAATAATGGATAATTGGTTATACACTCTTCCCTAGTTTCATTATTCTTATCGTCATCTTAAACAACACTAAACGGTAAAAAAACTCGGAAGACTAAATAGTGTGTTGATTCAGTGACAACGTCACAACAATTAAAGAGAAAAAGTGATGATGCTTTGTAACCAGCTTCAAGTCAAGATACGGTTCATGTCATCTGATTGGGTTAACTGAGAATCACTCAATGTTGATCCGTTGCATGAAAGTGTTTGAAGGCATTTGGTTATAGTTTATTAATTATACAACTTTCATGAAAAAAAATTATCGACAAAATCATGCAGTCCGCAATAATACATGGAGATCATTTATTAGCAACTAGATAATTGAAACAAGATAACAAACCCTGGTGATGGAGCGCGAAACATGAAACTCATGTTTCGATTGTCTCATATTTTTCATTTAAAAATGTTTAACATCAAGTGTCATGACTAATTTTTTACACTGAATAAAGCCCCTTTTCAACAACAGTTCGACATTATCATATGGTAAAGTGTTTTCAAATCGTAATATGTCGACTACTAAAACTCTGTGCAAAATTTGATTATGCTGATCCTCTAAATGCTGATCTTCCGTTACCTATGGATTGCTTACTCGTGTAGTAGAAATGGTTGATGGTGCTTTTAATTTAATGCGGCTAAAGATTTTTTCTATATACTTTCATAGGCCACTTATGATGCATCTACAAAAAGTTATTATCTTACTGGATCCAAACATGGATGCTGAAGGTATGAGAGGTCCGTTTTCATGTCTAAATAATGCCAGATACGGCATTGCATGGGGAGCATTAGGAGCTGCACAGTTTTGTTATGAAGCTGCTCGACAATACACAATGGATCGTAAACAATTTGACCGTCCGTTAGCAGCTAACCAATTGATACAGAAAAAATTAGCCGATATGGCTTCTGAAATTTCTATTGTATTATCAGCTTGCTTGCAAGTAGGTCGTTTGATGGCTCGTGATATCGGAATCATGTTATGCGCTATGCAAACAATTTAGAAACTGTTAATACCTATGAAGGAACGAATAAAGTTCATGAATCTGAATGATAATTCTCCTGAAATTTTTCTGTGGATTGGATTGTAATTTTAGTAGAGAGCTAACAAGCTCATGTTAAGTTACAGTCTAAAAATGTTATACTCTTACAGCTATTTTTACAGATATTTTTGAATCTTAAAGTCAGCATTGAGATGGATTCTGAAAATTCAGAGATCTGATGAAGTTAAACAGCTTCAAAAAAAATAATTTCATGGTTTTTTGCACTGCTACTCAATTAATTACATTCCTTACATTTTTAATTGTTGACAATTTTTCATTAAATTGCGTACTTAGTTTAAATATCCCGCAAATAAATGGTTCAACAAGTTGCTTCTCAAGAGCCACTGAGCTTGTATCAGGTGAAGCCAATTCCATTTGAAATTACTTTTATTCAACGTTATTAAAGTTTGTCTTTTTGATATATTTTATTAAATCTCACTTTTTTACTGTAAGTCTGTTTATCAGTTGAAAAAATGACCGAACATCAATCAGCGTTACTTTTAAGAAAACAATTAAACGGTAAGTCTTGTTGTCTAATAGATGAATGACGTATAAATTTATTTTGGTTCTCTTGTCCTTTCTTTTACCTTTTTCATTTACGCTTATTTTTCAATAATTAACCTTTTTTACATTTTATTTCATATCTTTTCATTTTGTTTGGTTTCGTTCGTATATTGCTTAACTATCATAATCGTGGTCTTTGGATATTATCACCCTAAAAAGATTTGAAAAAAAATCCAGTCGAAGGATTCTCTGCTGGATTGGCTGATGATTCCGATATTTATTTATGGGAAGTGCTCATCATAGGACCACCAGATACTCTATAGTAATTGTCGTGTTCTAATCAGAATAAGTTTCGAGCTTAATTAATGTTCGTTTCTAACGTGTTTTATCTTTCTCTTTACAGCGAGGGTGGATTTTTCAAATGTCACTTATGCTTCCCTAAAGATTATCCACTTAGGCCTCCGAAGATGAAGTTTCTAACAGATATTTGGCATCCAAATAGTAAATATTCAACTAATCACCGCATTTTTTTCTGATCAACTTTAGGTGGTTCGGATAAGCTAGATCAAGGATTTCAACATTTTGTTACGCAATCTTGAGATGACATAATTAGCTCAACCTACACATAAGCACAAACTTGCTTTTATAAACTGATACGCATTTTTGGTTTCCAACTTTATTCAAAATAATAATTTGTATTACCACATCGTTAAATATCTAGGCTAGACTAATTTAATTTGATAATTTTAAATCTTGTCAATTCATTTTCATGTGGAATACTCACTGTTATTTATGTTACTCACTTATATACTGCGACAAATTATCCCTTTGAACTATCCTAAGTTGTGTGGAAATCAAATTCGAATCAATCATTTTAATTATAATTCTACTTTGTTTTCAGTTGATAAAAATGGAACGGTGTGTATATCAATTTTACACGAACCCGGTGATGATAAATATGGATATGAAAAAGCATCTGAGCGTTGGTTACCTGTACATACGGTGGAAACTATAATGATATCTGTTATTTCAATGCTAGCTGATCCAAATGATGAGTCACCTGCTAATGTTGATGCTGCTGTAAGTTGATTATTCATTTAAATTTTTCATTTTAATTATTTAAAAAGCTATTATACTCAAAACAATAATCTTATTCTCTTTTCTCTCAATCACAGAAAGAATGGCGAGAAAATCCAGCTGAATTCAAAAGGAAGGTAGCTCGTTGTGTTAGGAAAAGCCAAGAAATGTTATAACAAATAACTCGACTCAAATTTTTCCTTTCGCGTTTCCGCAATCTTCTCTATCACTTTCTATTCTTTTTTCTTTAACTTGAACCCTTCTGCTTTTTCTCCTATTTCTGTCAATATTATTTCCCTTCATACCTGTGTAAGAAATGAAAATCTTTTTTTATTCTGGGCACATTAAGATTGAAAAGTTGATGAATTGTTTTACTCAATCTCATTACAATCATGTTTAACTCAAACTTCACATGTTGGCTTGAAATTCTCTGAGTTCCACAGTGCAGCGAGATTAAATATTGTGTAAAGAAAACTTAATTATATCAACAATCTACCTCTACCGTATGGAAGTGAATGTATATGGTGGTCAGCAACTTTATGCAATTATCTCTATGCTCTTATGCTACTTTCTATGGATTTTTTTTTCATGTCAAAATCAATAATCTAAATTCAAGTATTTAAATTGCAAAGAAATTGCGTAAAACGTTTCTTTTATTGTAATCCAAAGAAACTCAACCTAAACTGGCATCATTGTGATTATGATTCGGAGGAAATTAATTAAAGATTTAAAAAAATAAGCGCATTATGATATTTGTTCAAGCTATTTTTGATTTAGGTTGAACGCCTTTTGTCGGTATCAGTCAGCCTGCATGTGTTTCAACCACATGAGCATTAGACAATGAATTAGGCGAGATAAATTAATTAAGCTTATCATGCAATCAATCGGTTCCATTTACATCGTGATTCCTATTGTTTTATCTTAATTGATAAAAATATTGTTTAGCTCCAAGGTGAAGTTGAGCTCAATTAGCTTATTAATTCCTCATCGTTGTTTTATTTAACAAATGTAACATTTTAAAATTAGCAAAGATGGTTCAGTTAGATCGTACATCGAAATGTACATTGAAAAACACATAGATTCATTGAAATAATCATGAACTTCCAAAATAATCGGGAAAACTTACATGTTATTGAGAAAGGATAACGAACCCGAGATAGGACAGATAAATGTTGGTGAGATCACACCTTGTGATGAAAAATTGACGACGAGCGAAGCAAATGCATCACACTCTAATCCATTCACAGATTAATCTTCATCATCATTGCCATTGTTACTCTAGAATCAGCTAATTATAATTTAAACAATCACTTCATTGACCCAACTCAATCGACCTTTGGTCGCATTTAAATGTTAACCTTGAGGGAGATGCAAATTGCCTTCGATTTTGATGCTCAAAAAAGAGGAAAAAGTATGGATAAAAAAATTAACAAAAAAAATACAATTTACTGCACAAATGATCAAAATCCTTTAGTTGATTCTTCATAATTTAATCTTTACCCTAATCAACCAATCGCAGTGTTAACTATTTTTACTACATTTGTACTCAACACTAATGTTATTTATCGGAGTGTAATGAGATCTTTCAAGCTCCTCTTCTTGGTACTTTGATTATCTAGATTATCCTCTCAGTAACTTTGCCTTTTGCCATCACTTTTTCACCATTTGTCCCTCCAATTGTAATCAAATTTGCACGTTTTCTCTACTTTTTGATTCTCCATTTTCTTGTCTTCTTCTAACCACCACCTTTGCTCTGTTTTGTTATTAATCTTCATAGGAAATATCATCAACTGAGAGCGTGTTTAAATTGTCAATCTTTCATCGGATACAATAAAATTTTCTCTGTGCTCATTAAAGTGTTCGTGTTTCGACTTCTTTCACTGTTTGTGTGTTAATGGAAAAACAAAAATAACAAGGAACCACATAATTAGTGCCAAAAATTATCCAATGTTTGACTGATGATAACTTCCTCACCAACAGTAAATTAATTATTTTTGATTTTTTTGTTCAAATATCATCCAATGGTTTTCGAATTGTTGACCAATTGATTCTATTGATTTATAAACGTACACCCTTTTCCTCTTTCCATTTTTTTCATGATTCAGCACTAAAGTTCTTTTTCTTTTTTATTAATTGCTTGAAAATTCAACTGCCATTAGCTCGATGTCAATGAAAAACAATCAAAAGATGTTTCAATCAACCATAGAGAAAACCTTTGAAAGCTCAAGAATAAGTATTCACGGTAGCTCGACAAGATACGGAGGATCTACGTATGCATACAACAGTGGTTCAACTCGTTTGCGGTTAGGCCGTGATTCTAGCTCTTTTATTCACGACAGTTATAACTCAAGCCTCGATTTCCCGGCTTATATTCCTTGGCAGACTTTATCCAGTGATGTTTCCGATAAATTGAAAACGGGTTCAATCAAGATTAACAAATGGTAAGCTTTAATGAAAAACGATTTTAAAGATGAAAGATTACATATTGATCCAAATTTCTTTCATAGTAATTGTGTTGAGTGGACAACCATTGCGGAAGAAAATGAACGACTACCTTTGTTAGATCGCAAGGCATCAAGTTTCGATGATATTCCAGGAGTATCCGAAGCTACGGCTGGAGGTGAGTTTATAAAAATTAAAATTTCAATAAATATGCAATTTTGATTGGATGCACAAAAAATAAGAAAATATCACAATCTTAGAACGGGATATAACGCAGTATTTTGAGAGCCATGAGAGCCATTAATGTTTACTAGAGTCAATCTCGAGATCTTTGATATCATTGGATACTTTTAACTTTTCATATCTGTCTTCAATAAATGCTTGATTGGCAGCTTCTTCTATGAGTTCTAGGTCAAGATTTATCATATCCTTAGTTATTTGGATTCTCTCAAAAGCATCAGCTAGTGAGATAAAGGTTTTTTCTTTGACATGCTGCAACCAAATGCAATAATCAGTGATATAAAGATCATTAAGGATGTAACGAAGATCTCCAGATTCGTTAAAAATTTTGTGAATATCTAAAAGGCATTTGATCACGCAAGTTCGTCCATTTTTAAGTATCTTTTTAACATCAGAGATCAATTTAATGCACAAACTCCAATTTCGATATAGCGGATAGGTCAAGGATCGCTGAACACATGTAGAAAGAACTTCAGGCAATGTTGAAAATTGTTCAAACCACGAAAGAGTAGATGAAAGCTTTGATATCGTCCAACCCGATTCGCAAGAATGTTCTCCGTCAGTAGTTCTTACATCATAAGCGTAGGCAAACAAAATATCTACTAAACCAAGAAGTAGATGAAATTTTTCTTTTCTAGATAACAGATACTCTCTTCTGGGTAAACTTTTCAATCTGAATATCTCGTCATCATCAAATTGGATTGTATCAGTTGAAGCCAGTTCCCAGTGAGCTTTAAAACAAATTAGGTTCTCAATTGTTTCTGATAATTCAAACATATCAAACCAATAGTGTTCTTCATCAAAGGCCTTAATATCTTGTTCTATCCTCTGTTTTTTACGATCTTGATTATTAGTTTTCTCTGGTTTTTTGACGTCCAAAAGATCCCAAATTTCATCCTCTAATCGTTCTATAATGCCAGTATATCGATTTGCAAATCCATACTTTTCCCCTAGAATTGATTGCTGATCGTTTTCTGTCCATTCACTTTGATCAATATACCAATCGATCTCTTCTTCATTTTCATCGTCACCCTCGATATTAGACTCTTGATCTAAAATCTCAATTTGAGCTATCATTGGTTTTTCCTTTTTGGGTTGAGTTAACAGTTTGGTTAACATATCAAGTCCTTCAAAATACTCGCCCTCATTTTCTTTTAACACACTAATAACAAATCTATTTTCCTCTGCGACCCAATCAATCTTTTCAGAACCATCCTGTGCGGACAAATTACCAGGTAAATGCAATCTGTTTAAATAATGAGACCAAATAAGTTATTCGTATCTAAGTAACTGGTAACGTTAATGGTATATCACAATTATGAGACAAAATTGCACGAAATCTGTCACTTAATCTGAATATAACACATACAAACTAACAAGAATAAATCAAGTCAAGAAAACCAAACGAATTAAAAAAAACTTCAAACTAACCTGAGGTAATAAGGTTTACTAGAAAAATGAAACAAATTCCCTTCGAAATCAATTTGTGTTTCCATTAATTTAGCCATAGGAGCTTTGATAGTAATATAAACATATTTATCATCTTGTTTCAACATAAAATTCGGAGTAATCATTTTTAATTAACTTTTGGATACTGCTAATTTAAACCCAATGTGATGAACACAACTTAAAACATGTGATAGACTGTTTTTTTATAAGATAATACAATAGATGGCGTTTGTTTGCTTACATGTTCTTTGCAACTTGTAACTTTACCGGATTACAATTTCAACAAAAGGCTTCTCTATTAAAAGATTTGTCGTAATTAAAATTCACTTGATTCGTGAACATCAACTTTACGAAACAAAAATAAAGTAATTAACCTTACTAACGTATTGTTTGACAACATACCCTTAATAAGGAAAATGATTATCTACCAACAACGTGATGGTTCAGCCTTTAATCTTATCTGGTTCCTTTTATTCTCAACATTGCCATTAATGTTGATCTTTATTCTCCTTCAATTTTAATTGTTTTATTAATTGATGACCACTGAATGGTCAACCACTAACCAGACTCGAGGACAGTCATCATTGCATTGTACTCGAAATACTAGTCTTATATTCAGTTTGATTAGTTAATATGGATTTAGCCAAAATTTGTGTCCTCTTGGATTTGATTATCAATTTGTACCTCAGAAAATTGAATTTCAATATTTTTTTCCTCAACAAATTTAAACCTGTTTAGTGTTTAATAACCGAAAAACAATAAGCCAACAACTTATAAGATATTGAAATATTACTTCTCAACTAGTCTCGATTTTGTTAACATGGTTTAGAATAGTTAATTTATTTTCCAATCAATCAATGCATTATATTTTACTGTCATGTCCTTGACTTTACCGTTAGATTTCTTCCAATCTTCAGGCCTTAATCAAGAATTAAATTTAATGTGAATTATGCAACATCTAAATGATTAATAGAGTTAAGTGGCAGTCAATCAAAAATGTCCATTCAATCAACGAACAGTCAAAAGAAGTGAGTTTGCATCTAAAATACTTAAAATGTTAACATGCAGTCCAATTATTTGAAAGGTTAATCACAGATTAAATCCATCTTTTGCTTTGTATTTGTTAACTTGAAACAATGGTGAAGATAGTTTGCTATTTTTTTTGTCCAGGCTTTACATAGACAAAGGATAACGTTAAGACTTGTAAAGGAATCAAAAATATCAGAAGACAAAGGCAAAAATAATGGAAAACAAACGGCTTAGAGTGAAACTGTGTAAAAATAGTCCATAGTTAATCATCATTTCTATTAATTAGTAATTACATTTGTTACATTCGGATTATCTCATGTTTGGTGATTGTCATGGAAAAATATCATTTTCAGTTGACATTCAATTAAAAAAAATTATTGTTAGCTTACTCGTCATTAGGTCATAATGGAAATAAACGTTTGGTTGTCTCATCTTTGTTTACTTTCCCTCAACCCTTGCCTTGTTTTGATCCTTAGATTTGTTCATTCTTTTTGTCCATAAAAATGTATTGTCTCTGTATCTGGTTATTATACTGAAATTGCTTTAACACCTAGTCAACTGTATTTTCCAATGCTTTAACCTTAAATGTGCGGTAAAACTAACTGTCGCAGTTCAAAATAATCAGCTATTAATATTTGTGTATCTAGTTTCTAGTCTGTTTTGCATTTTGTACCATTGCTTTCTCAAACCTCGTATGATAGAGTAGCCTCTGTCTTGGGTTTAATTGATTTAATTATTCTATTATGCTTTTCTGATCACCAATCTGTGTTTATCTCTCCTGAACCATGAAAATGAAAAAAGGAATCTCGTGGCCTGTGGCAGCTTTTTTACTGGTAAATTGTGCTCTCGGAGCTGGTGTCTTAAATTACCCAGCAGCATACGATCGTCTAGGTGGTGTTACAATTGCCACTGTGATTCAAATTGTAAGTAATTCTATCATGTTTCAGGCAACTTTTGGTGTCAATTCTGCATTCATAAGTTATTAAAAATGTCTTCTGCCAGCTTCAATGGCTTGTTTTTACATACCTTACTTACCGCCGGTTTTTTTCTCCTACAATTTTAGTTCATGATGGCTATTTTAGCATCTACAATGATCATTCTGGTTTATGCTTCTGACCTAAACAAGGATGACACCTATCACGATGTACTTTTATCGTTATGTGGAAAAAGAGCTCAACAATTGTCTGCCATTTCAATCCTTTTAACCTGTTACGGTGTCTGTGTGACTTTTCTGATTATCATTGGAGATCAATTTGATAGAGGTGCGTCTAATCAAATTCTGATAGTTAATCAAAGATTTACTCAGGATAACTCAATCATTTAATCTGTCGCCTGTCCTGGTTTATTTAATCTCAATTATTGTATGTAAATTAACTGTACCTTAAACGTCTAACTCTTTCTCTTCCTCTTCCAGTTTTTGCTTCTCATCTTACAGAATGTATTTGGTACATTGATCGTCGTTTCACTATCTCAGTGACGTCCACTTTTCTCATCTTACCAATGTGTTACTTCCGTCGACTTGACTTTCTCAGATATGCTGGGTAAGTTTACAACCTTGACCAAAGTCGAAGAAAAATCTTGTTGATTATCAAATTATTTTCATTAAAATCTCTTCTTTCATCTTATACAGGACTTTAGGCGTATTTGCTATGCTCTACGTGGTCTTTTTAAATGTTTACGAATACTTCAAATTGGATATTCCTGATCCACCGATAAGGACCAAGTAAATTCAAGCAGCTATTGTTCAAGTTCAATATCATAACGATTCTTTCTTATTTTTAGGCCAAGCTCACTCACATCAATGGTTGCAGTTTTTCCCGTTATTTGTTTCGCATATCAGGTAAACTATACTATAGCTTCAACCAACAAACTCAAGTTTTTTCCGATTCTCTTTTCCTTTGTAAACTTATTCTTTATCTATTGTCTTTTATCTTCTAGTCCCATGAAATATCGGTTCCTGTGTATGCTTGCATGGCTAAACGTAATATCGCCAATTTCACCAAAGCAACCATATTGTCACTGGCAATACTTTTCTTACTGTGCTCAGCTGCAGGCACAACAGGTTATCTTACTTTTGGTAGTAACGTAACACCCGATATCATGGCTTTGTACAGTGCAAAAGATCCTGTCGTAATGATTGGTATTTTGGCGCTGGTAGTCAAGATGATAACAACTTATCCATCAATGATTTTATGTGGAAGGTAAAACTTTTCACCCAAAACTAATTAAGATTTTATCAGGATTAATATATTTTTTTGCTGATACTTATCTTGAAAATTTCTTTCAACACTAAATAAGTTCAATGTTTACACTCACAAAATGGCAACTTGGTCTGTCATTTGCATTTCATCTGCTTAGACAGATTAAATTTCCTTTCATTTACTCTCAATTCATGAAATGTATCAATGCTAACCTTTTCACGGATAACCATGCATAAAAGTTGATGCATCGTCCAAATCTGTCCATCAAAGATAATTTTTACTGGCCAAGAAACATTGATCTAGAACAAGTTATCCATTATTTTATGGAAATTCATAAAAGAACTTCTGAATGATATCAAATAACTGATTTTTATCATTTTCTTTATTCCCTTTTTAGAGGTGCTTTGGATGGATTGTATGCAGAATTTTTTAAACTATCAGCCGCTGATTTTATGGAAGGTGAACCTCGACGCCGAATAGTTATAACCACAATTTGGTTTGTAACCTCACTTTTAGCAGCTATTTTAACACCTAATATTGGTATTTTAATTCAATTACTTGGTTCACTTGCATCAGCCAATGTTTTCATCTTTCCAAGCCTTTGTCTATTAGCCATAGCTCGTCGTGAGAAGGGTCGTTTCAAGAAAAGCACTCGAATTTTCTTCTTTTTCTTCTCCATCATTCTCATCATCACTGGCTTCATTATGTTCCTACTCGTCCTTTACCAGGTTTATGACGATTTAAAAAGCGAAACTACTCCTTCCCATGAAGTTCTGTGCAAATGGTGAAAAAGCTCTAAATGGGAATCAAATTTACACACCGAGTTCGCATATTTACCTCACTATTTTGTTCAATCTTTTTGTTCTTCATCAAAGTCACTCATCACAGGTCATTAATTCATCCAAATGAAATTTGCTCCAATTTTTTAATTCCCACCAAATTGAAATTACCCTCCGCTTGTCACCCAATTCACCTCTCAACCCTTGCCCACCACCTTCATCCATTTCTGTTTCCATTTTTTAATTTTTTTTGTAATTTCTCACCATTTTTCGTCTTCATTGTTAAAAATCTTACACTTTGTAATAAAACAATCTAAATACTTTTATATTCTCACCGAGGGAAGAAAAAAAATCTTTAGACCTACCATTGTTTTTAAATACCAAATGAACATTTGATTTATACAATACATTTACCTCAACCTGTAACCATTTTAATTCAACCCAATCAACTTTGATACAAAGTGTATTTAAATCCTTACCAATTTTTAGCTAAAACAACCAACTTGTCCCTTACCTGACAATCAACCCAAACCTACCCGAACTTGTAAAAACAAATAATATAAAGCAAAGTATTATTTTAATTTTCAAATCAACAACAAAAACCAACACTTCTCTTTCCCTAAACAATTTAAATTTAACTTCTACCCAATTAACTGGTTAACTGACCTTAAAACAGGAAACCTAAACCACAATTAAGAAGAAAAAGTTGAAGAGCTGTCTAAAAGATTAACAATTTATCCATCATCATGAAGCTTCTCATGATTCTCATTGAACATTTATTTCAATGACTATCATTCTCACCTTATTAAATTAACAATATCAAATGATTATGAACAAAAAAGCACAGGCAAAACAGTTCAAGGATAATTTTAAATTATCATCAGCAACATCATCATTATCATTGTATTTTAATTGACGAACAATTTAAGCTAAAAAATGCAAGAGAAGCAAATGCGAAAGCTTTAATAACTTTTTCCTCACAAAATTTCCAACCGATAACATTGAACTCTCATCATTATCTGAATTAAAGTAATACAATTTCAATGAGATGTTGATCAAGACAAAGCCTACAATTGTTTCGTTGATTCAATTTATGAATTCATTTTGCTAATCTCATCAGGTTAGGGTCAACTTTGAAGATTACATTTGACCTTAAATTTATTCAAATGTTGCAAGATTACATTAATTAGCAATTTTACCGTATTAACAACAAAGAAAAGTGAAAAAAATGTTAATTTGATCAACAAACAAATCGATTGGACTTGATCCATCAACAGTCCATTGAAAGGTAACAAATTAAAAAGGTTAACCTTGATAAACTGTCAAGATTGATTGTAACCAATTAAAATCTGGAAAAAGTTAATCTCACAATTTTTCCTTTCTTTTCAATTCTCATTTATTTTTATATCAATAACCGCAGCAAAAATGCCTTCAAGCCAAATCTCCACCCAATCATTGATTCCAATGGACAAAGACGGTAAAAAATGATGACTCTGATTACCATCATGATTATCATGATGATGATCATGAGTGATGATAAAAGCCTGATAAATGGTTTTCCCTTTTACGAACAGTGAACAAGTAAAAAAACAAGTAAAAGTGAAAATCTTGCAATTAGTAAATCAACATTTCGTGTTAACATTGATCATCAAGATAATCTTAACCAGTATTAAATCGCTATTAAACCTCTCATCTATTAACATTGATATATCAGAAGAAGAAGAAAACAAATTAACCAAATTTCCATTGATTAATAAATTGTAATCTATCCTTGAACAGCTTTTGTTGTCAAATGTTTTGAAGCTTCAATTGCAATATTAAAGCAACATCTATGAGAATGAGAATTGTGGCTCTTTTAAGGATAATCTGTTCACGATTTCTTGTAAAAATCATGATTAATCAATAATTAACATAACATGCAATTTGTATTGGTCATCATTCCATGATGTTCATTACAATTTACAAAAAGTATTCATTAAAAAAACGCCAAATGAAAGAAACAGTGTTTTGTTTTCGCTGGCTTTTTGCATCACAATGTGATTATTGTTATTAATGAATGTACACTTTTTGTGGTCAAATGTTTGTTGCATTCACTTTACCTCTTTCACTCAATAACGCTTGATTTTTTGGACACAAGATGATTTAATAAATTGCTTTTACAGTTTAAAATCCTTTTTGATTAGTCAAAGAAAATGATTGATTATTAATAATAAGGAAGGTTAAATAGCAGTTATCATTTGTAAGTTCATGTTTGGCTAATGAAACCACAACAAGGTAACAATTGATTTTTGCTGGTTTTTACTTATTTTTCATCAAATAACGAGTTGTGTTTATAAAACTAAACCATTCAAGCCTTGACTTACAATGTTGATGATAATGATAATCAACTTGATAATAATAATGATGATGATGAACCTTCAACCTAAACAAAAAAGTGTAATGTAACAATAGACTTGTCCATAATTAGCTAAGTAAATTAATGTTGACCATTGAAGATGAACATTTTTGAACATCTCCATTTTAGAGAGATCAAGTTGACCCAAATAGCCAAATTAACAATTTAATCAAAATATCAAATTAAAATGTTACTTTTTTGGATTTAGTCTAACTCTTGATTTGGCTTGTTTGGTAACAAAAGGTAAAACCTATTGCTGTTGGTGTTAAATGGTGAATATGACCTTTTCGAGATTTTTGGCTATCACAATTGTCGATTGTAATTAATGGCGATTATTGGTGATTAGTAATAGATATAAACAGGTTAAAAGTGAGAGGTTGAAGAATCTACAGTTAACAGGATTAAATGAACATTATCTGATTGATTAACGGAAAAATTTTGCTTTTTTAAAAAAGCCAATTGGAAAGGTAAAAGTCGGTGGTTTATTAAGAAGTGAATCACGGAGAGAATCAACAGGATTTCAGTGATCAACAGTGAACAGCAGACTGAATAGATAAATTGATAGGTGGATAATGAAAGTGAAATGATAAAATCAAATGCTGTTAAAAATCGCAATTTTAATCCATCATTCAAGACCTAATCCAACAATCAACTAACCGCTCCTTTTTTTTCAAATTTTGATTTTCACGTTGTTTTGACTGTTTTATGCATCAATTCAATCCAAATACAAATTGTGATTATTATTATTATTATTAATACGGAGAAAGCAAAAGAATGGAAAAATAAATGAAAAGTAAAAGTCGAACTCGACCTTGATTTATCCTTGAGTAGTTTATCGCGATTCATGTTAATTCAGTTGGATTAATGTAAAGCCAACGCATTTCCATCAAGGTAATAGGAAAGAAATGAGAAGAAAAGAAGAAGATGAAAAGCAAAAATTGACCGATTCAATTTTAAATGAAAGTTAGATGAACATTTGTTCATGAAAACAGAATGAAAGGGGCGGAAGATTGAGAAAGAGAGAGAGAAAGAAGAGGACGAGGAAGATGAGGAAGAAGAGAAAGTAAAAGTGAAAGTGAAAGTGAATAGCCAAGGTGGAGTTGGGATAGGCTCGGCGAGAGTGGCTTATATTTCAACATTTAAAGTACTCATTGAGTTTCGATGTAATAATCGCTCTTAATCTACCTCCACCTTTCTTGGTCTTCTTTCTTCTCTCTTTTTCCTCTTTCTTCTTGATCATCCATTCTTTATCTTCTCTTTCTTTCCTAATTCCACTTTCACTTTTCCTTTCTTTTGCTCACTTTTTACCTATCTATTACATGCTTTAGCCAAACACTGACCGAGTTTCAAGGTTTCAAAATTTTTGTATAAAAGTGCCGAGAATTGGTTGGAAAGAATCATTCGAATCTTCATCTCCATTCAACTCACTTGAATAACTTTATCATTTTTGCTTTTGCAACTCAAACCCCAAACTCTCAACTCAAACTCAAAATGAACACCTTCACCGTTGTCGCTCTTTTCGCCCTCATCGCCGTCTCCCACGCTGGTTACTTAGCTGCCCCAGCTGCCATTGCTGCTGCTCCAGCTTTCGCTTACCCAGCAGCCGCATATGCTGCTCCAGCATACGCTGCACCTCTTGCTGCCACTTACAGTCACACCAGTGAGTTTCCCCTTTGGATTGATTCAGTGAATTCCAGTGATTCCATTATTCAGTGATTATTAATCTTTCATTTTTTTTCTCTTTTTCTTTCCACAGTCCACGCTGCTCCAGCATACGCTGCCCCAATCGCCAGTTACGCCGCTCCTTATGCTGCTGCTCCTTATGCCGCTAAAGTTCTTGCCCCCGCATACGCTCCATACGCCGCATACGCCGCACCAGCTTTCGCTCCATACGCTAAGGTCTTATCTGCTCCAGCTCTTGGTGCAATCTACGGTGCCCCCGTCGCCACCATCCTCAAGAAGTAAATGCATTGATTCGATCAATTCAAACAAGTGTTAATGGATCTAGGAATTTATACAAAATATAAATGCTAGAAGTGTCAACACAAACCAAAACTACTGTGAACCAAATCAGCTTTACATTTTCCCGATATTCATTGAATCGTTTGTGATTCACCATTATGAACGATCTCCTAGGATATCTTTTTTCATGTACTGCCATTCAAATGCTTAGTTTACCTCTGGATTCCTGATTACTGCAAATACACACTCAAACAGTTAGACAACACTTTTTGTATTTAGACACTGTACCAAAAACGCCTCTGTAACATACTGCCAAACGGTCTTTGTACCATAATAACAATCAATATGTAGACAAAAATTTATCTTCTCATTTTATTTTACTCGCGATTCTCAAGTTGATCTAATCTGACAAGGGAAGTGCCTTTGCTGGTACGATCATTTTCAATTTTTTTCGGGCTTATATTGTAGAGGGCAAAAAATAATTAGACACGTATTTTTGCTTTTGTTTCGCTAGTGCGCG